GTTGCTCGGCAAACTACATTTATTAATGGTATCGATCTGGTCCGAACATTAGAAAAATATGCTGCCAATGGCCATTTAAAACCAACCACTTTGTTTATTACTTTTGATGTTGAAAATCTTTATACAATGATACCACGACAAGGTGCTTTAGAAGTATTATTACAATTTCTAGAGCGAAATTTACACAATAATAAAATCCGTACATTACGTATTGATGATATTATGAGAATGGCTCGTCTCGTATTGGATACGAATATTTTTGCTTATGAAAATAAATATTATCGACAAATACGTGGTGGAGCAATGGGATCTGCCTTTACCCGAACTTTAGCTAATATTTATATGCTAGATTGGGAACAACAACTAATGCATGACCAACAAGCAGATCAGGAAATTTATGGAAGGTTTATTCAAAATGTTTGAGTGTTATTCAATACTACTTATAATATTTTCCTTATTTTCTTTAGATATATTGATGATGTATTTATGACAACAAACTTAACACATGATCAAATCAAAGTAAGATTGGACAATGCTCATAGAAAAGATTCCAATATTCGTATTTCTTATTCTATTCAATCTACTATCGACTTTCTTGATGTTACCGTCAACAATGAACATGGTCACTTGAAAACTTCTATCTTTCATAAATCAGCAGCTGAACCTTATGTACTACCTTATACTTCGGATCATCCTCGACATGTTTTTCGTAATATACCGTATGCTGCTTTATTAAGAGCTGCACGAATCTGCTCAAATGTAGAAGATTTTGATATGGAACGTATTCGTATCGATTTATCATTATTACTAAATGAATATCCACCTTCATTTATATTCAAACATTTTCATCGATTCTTCGAAATCAATCAGACTATAGCAGTATTTGAAAGACTCGACTCGCAAGTATACTACCAATTACACCAACAATTACTTCATAAGCCCACAAGAAGAGAACAGCAACTTCAACAAGCAACAGGAGACATTGATGTTTTACCTGAAGTATTACAAAGAAAGACACCTTGGGATTTCAATGTCATGTATGCCAAATATAACTTCGAAAGTGGGCCAAGATTAACTTTTCAACGTGATTTCCGCACATGGTGGAAAAAGCATTTTGCATATAAAGGATCTAATGTGGAACACGTTCAACTAAAATTTGCCGTCAAAATCAACCGTACTTTAGAAGATATGTTTGTGCACAAGAAACCACCACTGTCAATGCTAAAACGCAAGCCTACTAATATCTTACAACAAGCTACCAATGTACATATACATTTATAAAGAATCTTAAATTTTATTTATTTCACTTTAGAACGAAGATTCAATATAAAAAATGAACATTTCATTTAAATCAGGTTATCATAAGTAGTTGTTATTTTATTGTATCAAATATTTTATTTTTTATTTTTTCTTGCTATGATATATAATAAGGAAAACATAAGCGCTTATGATAGTTTTTTGTTTTAATTCTCTTCATAATTTTAGATAGTTGAATATCAATTGAAAGTATTCTTTAATACAAAATTAATGACTGATCCAGATCGAAACGTAAGTTTAACTCTGAAAAAAAATGAACGACATTTACTCAATATTAATAACAACTATCCATTATAGATTGAAAGAGATATCGATCGATTTGATGATATTTTCCATCGATTTGATGATGATATTGATGAGGAAGAAGATACAAACATTGATTTTGATAATCTTTATATGAATATTGGCAAAGATAATAATAATGATGTAATTGAAATTGAGCAATTAAATGATGATAAGAATAATTTGATTGATTCCGTGTTCAAAGAAGAAAATTTATCTCAAAAATTAAGTCAATTATCAGCTACTGATAAAGAGCAAGAGGATAGCGATAAATCTAAATCATCAACTGTCAAGAAACGACCAACTTTAACACCAACTACAACAACAGATAACATATCGAAAAAAATGAAACCCGATAACGAAGAATCAACTAGTAATCAAATACCAAGATATTTATCAAGTCATAATAAAGCATTTGAACAAATGATCAATCCTATACTTGAAAAAACAACAACAACAACAACTTCTATCAATATTGAATATTTACGAGAGATTGCTATTCTTATTCACCAACTTGAATGCATTAATCTTGATAGATTACTATGGACGACATATTTACGTTCTGGGACAGGTACATTAAAGCCACAAGCAACAACATCGACACTCTTATTATGGCCTTTAGAAGTTAAACAGAGAATGATTGATCGTGGTCAAACAACTGCATCTGATCCAAATGAAATAGATCATGCTTCTTGTTTGAATTATGTTCAGAGAGTACTACAAAAATTTCGAAACCAAACTGAACATTATCAAGCTCAATTGAAAGAAAGAAAAAAACGTTTAAACAATTGTTGGACATGTGAAATCGGAGAAGTTATTACTAAATTTGTTCAACGACATGTCACACCTATATATAAAGCACCTACAGAAGGACAAATTGCTATCGTTCAATATGATTATAATGATCGATTGATTCAATTAGAATATTATCAACAAAATCCAAATGAATATCAAAAACAAATATTTGAAAATCTTACTCAAGCCAAATATGAAAAAGAAACATCTAAATTTGATGTAGCAATATTAAAACAACGTATTGTTTATAATCATTTACCACACTCATTTGAATCACTTAAAATACCTCCACCCATATCATTCGATACAATTACTGATACGATGACTCGTCAACATTTAAAGGATCGATGTGAGAAAATTTTACAACGAACGAAATCCGAAATGATGATGATTTATATTACAACAGCCGAAGCAAAAATGAATGAATATGAAAAGAAATTCGATACAGACTTGGCTAAAATGAAAGAAAATCAATGTTCTGGTCCATCACATAAAAAATTAACTCAAACAATGTTGAATATTATGGAACGACGTTTTCAGAATATAAATGAACGTCTTACATGTCTTTACAAATTAAAACTACGTTTTTTCGTCAAAGCTCCGACGGTCAAGAATTAGATTGGATCGATCGTCGGAGCATTCCTATCCAAAAATCAAATATCACTTGTTCACCATCAATAGTTCAAGACACATCACATCATCTATCACAGGAACAAGTTACATTTCTTAATCGTGGACCAACCTATGTTCCACCATGTCAAATACATATTTTATCAAAATCTTCTTTAATACTGGCTCAAATCGTTACGAAACAAATGGCACCACTTCAACGAGAACTTGCAAAACTTTTCATCAAATATCCAATCGATCTCTCTCGTCAAATGCATTTTGAAAACGGGATTGAACAATTATTCAATGAATCATTTCTTCAACCTATGCCTTCTGTACTTGAGGAGCGTGCACTCTATGAAAAACAGCTCATTCTATCAATTAGATATCAATTAAATAAAGATCAATTGATTCTACGGCGAACCGCTGATGAGATGAATACATATTATCTTGATCGATTGAATGAATTTAATCAAAAATCGAATGAATATATTCAGAATTCAACTTGTTACGAACTGATTGAAACAATTAATGAAATTAATACAGAACAACAACAATTAGAAGGAATTATTCAATCTATTGATTTACAACTGGAAATATTATATCAAAGAAAATTGATTAAAGAAGATCATTTAATCAGATTAAGTATTGGCAAAAAAACAAATATCAATCTTCCATATCTTTATTTCTTACCAGAAACGAATGAAAATGTTCATATGTCAGTACAACCACGACTATCATCATGTCAGCATTGTCCAATATATACTCTAGCTACTTATCTTAATCAACTTCTTCGACCATTATTTGATAATTTTTCACGATCAACAACATTTCTTAATGGTGGTGATTTTATACAAAAACTACAATATTATTGTATACAACTAGATCTTCTTCAACCGAAAACATATTTTGCAACATTTAAAATTCATGATTTATATATGAAGATATCACATTCGGTTCTTCTTGAAGCATTAAATATATTTCTAGTGAATCCACTTGTCAATGGTCGACATCAAAAATTATCAAGTGATGCTATTCAAGAATTAACTGCAATAGTCTTACAAAATAATGTTTTCTCTTACAATGGAAAAATCTACCGATTTATTCAAGGAGGTCCATTAAATTTACCATTAATAGAATTATTATGTCATATTTATATGCATCATTGGCAATATTCATTAGTTACACATATTTGTTTGAAAGATGCATTCTATGGTCGATATAAAGATACAGGTTTTTTAACATGGAATAGTCCGATTGATCAATTGCAAACATTATTCAATAAACTTGAACAAGAACTAGATTCGAATCTTCAAATGACAACATTTATTAGTAGTGATGTTCATTTTCTTCATGCTGCTATTGAAAATCGAAAAGGATCTTTACATACTCATGTGTATCATGATTGAACAATTCAACCATTTTTATTACCTTATGAGCATAGTCATCCACGATTATTTCATCGACAATGGTTTTGAGCTGCTCTTATACGTGCTGGTCAATATTGTAGTTCGTTCGAAGATTTTGAAGACGAACGACTTTATATTGAATTAACATTTCTGGCTAATGGGTATTCATTAGATTTTATCAAGTATCATATCAAACGATTCTTGACAAGATTTAATCCAAATGAACAAAAACCAATGAATTTGAACCGATCTACATATCTTTCATTTCGTAATGAATTATTTCGTTGTATCGATCAACAAAAATGTGATCTATTCGAAGAACAACAACTACTAAAGAATCATCAATTAATTCAATTACATTATCTTTTCGATTGGGGTTCAAGATGTCAATTCAATAAAAAGTTTTATCAATATTGGTCTACAATTCTCGAGCAAGATCCAGAGTTTAAAAAATATAGATTAAAAATCAAACTTAATACTAAACATTGTTATTCATCGAATACTCTCTTGGCTCGATCGAATAATACATATCTATGAAGTGAGAGTAGTCAATTTTAAATATTTATTTCTTTATATTTCTATACATTTAGATATTTCTAATGCTTGATTTTTAGTCATCTATTGCAATTTATACATGTCATTTTATTCTTCTTTTTTTTTGTGCATGTGTCTTATTGTTATGTTCTTAGTATAGTTAAACTTTTTTGTCAATAATATATTACTATAAAATTTTAATACATTCTGAACTATCACTCCTATTGTCTTACTCACTTTGAAAAATTCGTTATTATGATCATTAAAGTGATTGTTTTTTTTGTTGTTGTATTTCTTCTAGTTGCTTTTTTCTTTAGATAGTATGAGAAAA